GGGGATGTCGCCTGGGCCCTCTTCCCGGGCCTTGTTACGAGCCGCTTCCCCTGCGGAGTTGTTTCTGCCGAGTCCCTCCGGGGCGGCTCGGTCCGAGCGCTGTTACAGCCGCGTTTGCCATCGCAGCGCTGAAGCCCCTCGCTGCCCTGAAGTGCTCTGCGAGGGCCACCTCCCAGGCTAGCTGTGCTGCTAGCCAGGGCGGCTGGGGCCTCCCTGCGGAAGGAGTTCTTTGTGTCTGGGGGGGGGATAAGGTGAAGAGCAAGGGTTTGGATGCATGGAGAGAAAGGCCGTTATTCTGATACCGAAAAAAGTGTCATCATGTGATTGACGTAGGATTCTGGAGGCAGCTGTGGTGGGTTTAGTCCTGGTTGTGGAATGCAGGCATTTTCTAGATCTTAAAATTGCTCACAGCGAGCCTCGGGTCTCCTGTTTGTACGTTCGTATATATCTAAAAATATGGTATTTAGATATGGAATTATACTGCAGAGTTTGTGCACAGATGAGCTCAGCAATGAAACAAAACATTGTACTGACCTTGTCCCATGGGATTAAAGACTGTAACAACCTCTTTAATGAAAAGAAAACAGACTTCTTTTTTTCTTTTCTGTTAGGTGCAGACATTACTTCAGCAAATGCAGGACAAATTTCAAACCATGTCTGACCAAATAATTGGAAGAAATATCCTTTTTTAAAGTTGGATAAGTGCTGTATGCTACCGAATCATAAGTATTTTGAAGTATATTTATCGGTGGGGTTTGTAATATAAATGTAAAGTGACCAGAAGCATTTGAGAAAAGCTGTAGTAAAATAAAAAACCCAAACCAGAAAACCCAACCGCTGCTGGATTGCAGTTGTGTTCCTTAACTCCAGCGAACTTGATGACGTGAGCTGTCGAATTGATGACCTGGAGAAGAACATAGCAGACCTGATGATGCAAGCAGGGGTGGAAGAATTGGAAGGCGAGAACAAGACCCCTGCTCCTAACAAGAGTTAAAGTGAGAGGCTTGCTCGCCTTGAAACAGCCCCTCGGGTCGCTTGAAATGGCTGGGTGTGGAGTAGATGGGCTTGTTCCTTCGGGGTGTGAGGCAGCCTGGAACTCGTTAGGGTGTGGTGGCCTTGAGCCGCTCTCCTCAGCAGGCTCCTACCGCCCTTTTCCCTGAGGTTGTTGTACTGGGAGGAGAGTTGTGTTCCTCACGTCTGGTTATCTGTGAGGGGGTGCTCGAGCCCTCTGGTACCCTGAAATAACGACTCTGCAGCTTGGGAAGGAGGAGAGATGGGGAAAAAATACCGGTAACAAACAGAGCTGTTCTCTTTTTTTTTTTTTTTTTTCTCTCTCGTCATACTTGAGGGCTCTGAAGGGGACCATGACCTCGTGTAGGTTACCGACAGCAGAGCAGGAAAGCTATAGGGTGAGCGTGGTGCTGCCCTCCCGTCTTCTGCTCTAGGCTTCAGCTCCCACTGAGCTCCCAAGGACGGTGCAGACTTGCTGCTGCGCTCAGGGGCTAAGAAGTTCATTTCTGTCCGTCAGCAGCGAATCCCTCCTGTGTCAGTTAGGAGCTGCTGGGAGGAGGTGACACACATCCCACTGCACAGTGGCAGGGCCCGACTCGGGCAGTGTCAGACCACACTCGGACGTGAGGCACGGCGTGTTCTAGGGCAGCACTCCCTGGGAAGAGAACGATAAATGCGATGGCATTCTGTGTTCTTACTTGATTTCTCAGTTGATTATCTGCCCCTGTGTTACACGCAGACGCTGGAGAAGGAACTGTTTGATCTGCTGGGCCAGCAGCAGCTCGGAGTCGAGCGCAAAGGCACGTGATGGGGTCGCAGCAGAGGCAGCGACTGCGGTTGCTGAGGGCGTTGCAGAAGTTGAGGCATCGCGAGGGGGCCAGAACCCTCCTGGCATAAACCAGGGGCGCGTGCCGTGCTTGCACGATACAGGAGCACTAAGATTTCCCTTGGGTTTGTGCAGGGCTTGATTGGGGCAGTCAGGGGAGGCAGCTGGGAAGTAAAGGACTAGCTGTGTGGTGTGAGATTCACTTTTGATTTGGAGGTGGCTGAGGCAGACGTGACTCGGCCTTTCTTAGGCTTGAAGTCCTGAGGCCGTGTCCAGAGAACTGCGCAGGCTGGGTGACAGGTGTCCGTTTGAGACAGGTGGAGGTCTTGCTGGTTAAGGTAGCTGTTTCTTGTGTCAGAAACACAAATTATTATGGGCTTCGTTGCCCCCAGTCCAGTTCCCTTAGCCTGAACCCCACAAATGGAAATTTCTGATGAGCATGATTCTCTTAATTCTTCTCAGCAATGTTATTGTTTTTTTAACTCTTTTTTTCCCCAACAGGTTGCCAGTAACTTAAGATGAATCCTGGAAGACTTTTTGTTTTTCTACAAATCCTTGGGATTACAGAAGAGCTTTTTGCAACTATCGTGTGTAAAAGCATTTTTATATTGTTACAGAGCTTGCATTCCTAATGTATATTGTATATTGTTAGGGATAGGTTAGTTTATATTTTGACTTGTGTACTGTAATTTCACTTTCTGAATTCTTGTTATGAGGATCAATTAGTTGTGTTATTAAAACACAGATCTTATGGATTTCAACTACTGTGAAGTCACTCTTTTCTCTTTCTGATACTTTTTGTAGACATTTCATATTTGACAGCTAAACATCCCGTCACACAGAAATCTCACCTTGTCCTGCGTAGCTTTGTGGAGTGAAGCTCGAGGCTGAAACTTGGCATTAGCCGTAGCTCTTAAGCACCAGTCGCTCCGCTCGCTGAGGGCCGTGTGGTGTTTCCTCATAAATGTAATAAGGTGATTTTGGAAACGTAGGACACTGAACATCAACATCATATTTCCTACTCCTGGTATTCCCTTACAGACACTGAACATCGCATCATATTTCCTACTCCTGGTATTCCCTTACCTGTGTGTTGCTAGAACACGAACCAGAAATGGAGATTTAACATCAGAGACCTCCGTGCACAGGTCAGCAGCCACTGCCATTCGAATCTGTTCTATTTAGACAGACCAGGAACTATTAACTATAAATTAAATTATTACATATAAATCTCACTGGGGGATTTAAGTTTTTTAACACTGTAAAACTTTGAACATGGCCACGTGTCATTTAGCATCACCTCTGACGAATAACGATGATTAAAGTGGTACTGGACAGAGCAGGGCTGGGGTTGGGGGAGCGGCTGTACGGAGTCTTGCGGTTTGAATCACTGGCTCGTCGTCACAGCAGTTTGCTAACAGCAGTGATGAACTGGAACAACAAAAAAGGAGAGAAACCCATTAGAATTGTAAAGCCTTGCTTCTCTTTGACTGACAACTAGCTGGAACTGTTCAGAATTTGGTTTGGAGAGGTGTTTGTTTTTATAAGGATGCCTGCGTTTATGGGCCTCGAGCTTCCTGAGTTACATTGGAGCATTTTGGCAATGAAAAGCGTATTTGGGGGAATCTGTTCTGAGTCGCTTGTGAAGAAAAATGACCGGTGTTGGACGTTACTGACACTCATTGCAATGCTGCTGCAGCCTGACGTGCAAATCGAGGGCGGCACTGGGGCAGTCAGCAGTGACGTGTGGGCCGCGCTTCGAGCGCCACCGAATGAGCTCCGGCGTGCTGCGAAGGCAACGCGACGGGTCATTGCTCAAAACTGAGAGGGAACTGTAGTGAAAGCTCATGATAATAGAGGGTTTTTGTGAACATAGGAGATGTATCGATATACCTTGTAACACCAGTCTTAGGCTCTTTGTAATGTCATTTAAAAAAAATCTAATAAACTATGATGTGGTAACAAATAGTCAGGTCATGTGTGTTAAAGCGACATCTGGCATAAGTGTGTCATTATATGTGGGATTGTGTTTAGTTGCAGAAAGACTTTAGCACAGCTGCCGCTGCTAGACTATAGTCTAGAATATAGAATATGTTGTGTGTAATAAAAGGGAGAGTGTGATTCATGCCCTGTCAAATCTGGATTTTATTAGGTAATTACAATGTAGACCAGATTGATAGGAAAGCGTATTAAAGTGAAGGATCATTTTGTACGATAGGATATTTATATGTTTATACAACTGTAAATTCTGCCCTGGCCGCCTTCCTCCCGTGGGAGAAACGGTCATTCTTGAATTCACTTGCACTGCCCGCCGTACCGCAGCAGCAGGCCTGCTTTCCTGACGTTCATTGTGTCAGAATAACCTACTGGAAAAGTGTTTCAGCTTTAAGAAGCAGCGGGATTCTTCAAGTCATTGGAAAGATTCTAATCACTTTTCAGTAGGGATAGTTTTCCCTCATAACTTTAACACTTTACTGATTTTGAAAAGTAACAATTCTGTTCAAAACAAGCCTTTCGGACAGGAAGGTATTACTTGTAGCTCTTTAAATACTGCGTATTTTTGAGAAACGTGTTTTATTCTTACTCGGAACCAGTGATAGAGCTTCTACATATAAACAGCTTCCGCAAACGTACGTATAAAAGCCAAAGTACAATCCCTTTTGGCCACATTTTCTTGAAGTTTAACAGACAACGCAAAGCAGCAGATGACTGTTACTGTTCGCGTTACTTTACATGGATTTGATAACACGTTACAAAATAATAGTGTGGGGGGTTTTCCTAAGCATGCTGGTTTACACCTGCAAATGGTTGTCCCACTGGGCTGCCTCACTTGCAAAGGAAAGGATTGAGCTCTTGAGCAGGGACTGTCTTCCTTACCAGACCATGCAGAAAGCTGTTCCGTACGTTCATTTAAATCGAACTACGTGCTGTGCTCTGTTTAGAACTGTCGTTCGAGGCTGCAGCCTGCATGTTGTAGTTCGTTATCTCTATGCTGAAGTCTATATAAGCACTTTAAGAGAAATTTTCTGTTACCTGTCATCATGGTAACATACACTCAGATTTTATCCTTGACGTATTTACCTCCCACAGTTTATTTTCACAAACAGTTACAGATTAAATCCACCCCGCTCCGATTTCCTTGTGCTGGCAGGCGTGGTGGGTGCTGCATTTTCCAGTTTGCAGTTCAGAGCTGGTGGAACTTTGAGCAGACCGGCTGTAACTCACAGGCAGAGCAGACCCACGCGATGGCAGCAAAATTGTCTGCTCCGCCTGTGTGAGCGAGCCTGAGTGTCTGCTCACATCGGCCTCCTGCCTACCTGCCAGAGGGGACGGGGCTCTGCTACGGTGAGTGCCATCTGGGAGCAGGTGAGATGATAGATGGAAAATGCACTCTTGAACTTGCTGCTTCCTTCATTCTTTCCTGTCCCAGCCCAAGCAAGTAAGGGGACAGCAAAGCTACTGTTCCTAAGTGAGCATGAGATATGGAGTCACGCAGAACAAGTGGAGAGGCCACAGGTCCTGCTTTTATGGGGGAGAGGAAGAACAGCTAAGGGTGGAGAAGACAGACCCCCGCCCAAGCTCTCCATTGTCTCTGCTCTCACCGCTCACCACTTCTACTCCACATTCCATTACCACCATCCTCTTCAACCCCTGCTTCTCTTCCCTCTGACTCTTCAGAGCTCAGTTTCAGCTGTAACTGAGGAAAGAGCCATTGTTTCCAGACTGTCTCCAGGTAACTTCGAAGTATAGACACGCTTTCACAAAAAGGTATAGACCTTTTCACAAAAGGTCTACATTAGGAACAGCAAATAGAATTAGTTTTCTTCTGTGCCAGGGATTACGAGTGACACTATGCATATCTTCAACCACAGTTGTCATAGCAAATCATTAATAGCACTATTACTTTCTGTATGCTAGGCTTGAGAACCCAGAAACAAGCCAAAGATCTCAGGAGCTGTGTGGCTTGTGTATTTTGCGCTGGGCAACAGAAATAAATATGAAACTCCTGCCTCGTCCCTTCTGGTGTCTTAATTCCTATCTTTGTAGCA